CTGGCCTTGCGGCCCTTTGCTTGTGCTCAGAATGTGTGGTGACGTTGAGATCCACCCTGAGCTTGCTTTGCGTCTCTTGACTGGTCGTGTGACCCCTTGTTCTCCCCCACTTTGCCTATGGAGGTGTGTCAAACATATATGTTGCATATTGTCTAGGCTGTAGTGGGGTAGCCCATATGGGGTACAACCCAATTAGGGTTTACTACTTGTACTCCTGCATGCTATTAGTTCATCATTCTTGCCTGTGATGTCAACATCTGCTATTGACATCAAGGGCCCACCACTAACTACCTATATGTGTGCGAACCTTCCTGAGGAGATCCCGGGAGCGATCCCCTTCTGGTCGTAACAGAACTGATGATATTAGTCAAACTAGGTTATAGTTTGGAAATTGGAATGTCAAAAGTCAGTTTATTTTAGCGTTTGGATTCTGACACTTCATGATTTATACGATCCATGACATAAAGTAGTGTGAGGAATTACAATTCCTTACTGTACTCGCACTTTAGCGAGTACATCCGGAGGGACACGCGACGAACCTGTTCGGCCTATTTCGTCGCACCGAACCACTCCCGAGTCGCCTCTGCACCAATCGCAACCATCACCGCGTCATATTCGCCCTACCTCTTCGCCTAGCTAGCTTTTCCCCTATTTAGTAGTGCCATTCTCATTGTATCGTCATTCTGTTATTCTCATTCTCGATATTCGTCAACCTGCACACTCTTCAAGTTCATTCATAACGGGCGGCTTGAAAATTTTGAGATGAGCGCCGGTTTTCTCTTGTTTCTTACTGGCTCGGGTCCTCTTAGCGAATTTTTGTGTCCTCTTAAAGCAGCGGTATACATTTGGCAGTGGGAAGGCCAAAACTTTATAAAAGGTACAAGGTGGTAACCAAATTACAGGGTCTCTCGACTTCGGACACAGCGACAAGTTCAACACCATCCCCTCCCAGTCACCTGACTCACTCGTCAAAAGTTTATGGCTAGCCAAAAGTATACTGAAGGACATGCCTCCTCACCACTATCCCCACCCCCAGAGCGCTCTAAGTCATCACTAAATAGGTAAATTCCAAAAACACTGCAATCCAATGTCATTATAGCGCGCCTCACGCGTAGGTCAAACACCTACAGAGCCATTGATTATTTTCCGGCGCCAAATACACGGAGCTTAGGGTTCGCCATAGCCCTTATCTGCGGCGCGATTCCCCTTGTGCGACGCCCGATTCCCCATTCGCGTCGCCTGATGCAACTCCCTCCCGCCCGGTTTCCCATTTCCACCGCCACGAAACCCCAGTCACGCTGTCCGGCGATTCCCCTTCCCTCCGCTCGACTCCCTGCTCCCACCACTTCTTCCTTCCGGCGGGTTCCCTTTCCCGTCGCCCTACTCCCCTTCGCATCGCCCGAACCACATTCCCGCCGCCCGGTTCCCCTATCCAGCCTCCGAAATCCCCTTCCACGCCACCTGAATCCCCTTTCCCGCCCATGGATTCCGGGCGGGCCGCCCGACCGCCCCTTCCCGCCGCTCGATTCCCCTTGCGCTCCGCCAAATTCCAATTCCCGCCGCCTTAATCCCGCTCCCGCCGCCCGATTCCCCTTTCGCGCCGCCCGCTTCTCCTTTCGCGCCGCCAAATTCCAGTTCCCGCCGTCCGATTCCCGTTCCCGCGGCCCGCTTCCCCTTTCCCGCCGCCCGCTGCGCTTCCCGCCGCCCGATTCCCATTTTCCGCCGCCAGACATGTCGTCCCGCCTCCCTGATCCCTTTTCCGGGCGGCCGACTATTCGTCCCTCCCGTCCCTCCCGTACCTCCCTTCCCTCCCGTCCCTCCCGTCCCTCCCTTCCCTCCCTTCTCTCCCTTCCCTCCCTTCCCTCCCTTCTCTCCCTTCCCTCCCTTCCCTCCCTTCTCTCCCTTCCCTCCCGTCCCTCCCTTCCCTCCCTTCCCTCCCGTCCCTCCCTTCCCTCCCTTCCCTCCCGTCCCTCCCGTCCCTCCCTTCCCTCCCTTCTCTCCCTTCCCTCCCTTCTCTCCCTTCCCTCCCTTCTCTCCCTTCCCTCCCTTCTCTCCCTTCCCTCCCTTCCCTCCCTTCTCTCCCTTCCCTCCCGTCCCTCCCTTCCCTCCCTTCTCTCCCTTCCCTCCCTTCCCTCCCGTCTCTCCCTTCCCTCCCGTCCCTCCCTTCTCTCTCCCTTCCCTCCCGTCCCTTCCTTCTCTCCCTTCCCTCCCTTCCCTCCCTTCTCTCCCTTCCCTCCCGCCCTCCCTTCCCTCCCTTCCCTCCCGTCCCTCCCTTCTCTCCCTTTCCTCCCTTCCATCCCGTCCCTCCCTTCTCTCCCTTCCCTCCCGTCCCTCCCTTCCCTCCAAGAATGTTCCTTGCACTCATACCCCCTCCACTGACCTTCCTCGCAACTTGTCTCACCTTGTCCTTCCCCCACCGTGCAGTTTCTTGTCTGTGAAGTAATCGCGACTCCACCGTTGCTTGTGCTGCAGAGGGAGTGCACAGGATGTTCAACCAGTTCGAAGGATTAGACACCCAAACCTATCCACTGCAGTGTGAGTCGGTCGGCTATCTGCACCCACCCTACCCTCCACCGTACCCTAAAACCCTTCTATCTCCTCCCATACCCATACATAGGCCAGCCAAACTCACCCCTCCCCTGCCATACCTTGCCGCTCCTTGCCATACCCTGCCCTACAATTCCCTGTTTAGCAGAACTGTACCATACCATTCCATACTCCAGCCATACCCATCCATCCCGCGCCATACCCATCCATCGCCTGCCATACCCATCCATCCCGCGCCATACCCTGCCATACCCTACCCTTCCTTTTGCGCTCGCAATCCATCGATGGATCAACACATTAGGTCCCCCCCACTTCCCTACCTGTCCTCTCATCCACCCCTGCAGGGATGACTTCCAATCACTGCACACACCGCTGCTTTGTTTTGCCTACTCCCTACACTATGTTCCCCACTCCTTTCTTATGTTCCCCGCCAGAAATCAATGATGTTCTCGCAATGACGTGGGTGTCGACAACGATTGACGCTAGGTTTCAGGATTTGGTTTTGAAGATGAGCAAAAAGAGCAGCGACAGGGTGAAGGGGGATAAAAATCGAGCACGGGCATATGACTAGCAACGTGGTCGGTATGGTGGAACCCAGGGTTGTGTGATTAGGGCTATGTATTTAGTCAATACTGTTGTAAGTACTCCATTTGTACAACGTTGCAAAGTGTTTATGGCTTGAAGGCCTTCAATGTTCAAAAGTCATACACAGTAGGGCTGCCACGCATTTGGGAGTGTCTGCAAGTATAATATACCACAAACCGAACCTGTCAACTATGCTGGGAGCTGCCGCACGTCCAACTTGCTGCAATTGCATGCCTGGCGTGGTGTGCAGCAGAGGAGAGCAATGCAGTGAGGGATGCTTGGTGGACCTGCCAGTGAGGGGAGTGCCATTGCTTGGTCAGAGGCGCTTATCACCTATACCACCACCACCATCCGAAGCAGCCCCATTTCCACCTCCACCTGCCCCCAGGCCAGCAGCAGCAGAAGCGGATGCGGAGTGGACGTGCAACCCTTCCAGTGCTGCCATGTGTGCCGCACAAAAGTCGGCAGGCGAAACCGAGCCAATCATGCCTGCCCTGTGACGGGTCGTGCACGCAAGCTTAGCCGCTAGCAGCTGGGAGGAAGACATGGGGGTGGTTGGGTTGGGAGAATGGAAAGGGGGTAAGTAGGCAGAAACAGTGAGAAAAGAAAAGGGAGGAGGGTCTAGTGAGACTCGGCGGGGTGAGTATGGTATGAGGAAGAATGGGGCGGGGCTGGGGGACCGAGGAGATGAGAAGAGGAGGATGGTTTGCATGGGGGATGGGGGTGAGAGCGGGCCTGAAGGATTGAACCAGCATACCATTGGGCTGGTTGTAAGGAGGGTCGTGAAACGGTCCGAGGAGGATGGGAGAATGAAAAGGGGGACCTTGACATGCAAATGCAGCTCTTGTATGCTTTGATAGAGTAGAACAATCACACGCTGGTCAATGCTACGATTTGCCACTAACCACCCTATGCACTCCACCATGCATGCCATCACCCACACCCCCATGCACATCACCATACGTTCCACCCCGCACACCACCATGCATGCCACCACGCACCCCTTCATGCTCACCACCACGCATGCCTCCACGCACCCCTTCATGCTCACTCCCAAACTCACGGCCAGTAGACGAACCGCCACTGGCCCCCTTCTGATTGCGGTGGGCCCGCCCATAGGATGAGACGAACATACCGCATGGGAGAGGGTTGGCTAGCGATGGCATGATGACGGGAGAGGGTGGGCTTGCAGGGGGATACTGTGTGCATGATGAGGGGGGAGTGAGGCCTAGCAAGGGGTATACTAATAGCAAGGGCCATGGGGCTAGCACGCGGGAAACATGGCGCTAGCAGCCTCGTGCAAAACATGGGGCTAACACGGGGGTAACATGGGGCCAGAGATGGGGGAAAACGTGGGGCATGCAGCGGGCAACATGGGGCCTGCAGGGGGAATCTTTGGGATAGCGTGGGGGAATCATGGGAGCAAAGCTTGCGGGTAAAGATGAGGGGAGCATGGGATGGAAAACGGGGCGAGCATGTAGGCATGGAAGTGAGGAGTGCAGCGAGCATTCGGGGAGGCTTTTTCTCTCCCTTCCCTCACATGCAGGGGGCATGCACAGCAGGGCACCCAGCAGGCGACTTTTGAGTAAATTGGTGAAGTCACCTGTGCAGCGTGCAATGCACCCACCAGGCGGGGTTGGCAGCAAGGGGCAGATCAGCGAGGAGAGCAGCCCAAATGGCCAACCGGTCTAGAGACACCAGGCGATTGAGCGGCGCCAGTTGGCCATCCAGTCGGATCTTAGCGCTCCACACGCCAAGATGAGCAGCGATGCACCCACCGCCCAGTCTGGGAAGGGAGGGGGACAGAGGGAAACGTAGATGTGACGAGGAAAGGCAAGTAGGATTGTGCGGGCTGATAGGTTCCCATGCTAGTGAGCACTCCACACGCTACTGAGAGCAGCGATGCACTCACCACCCAACCATGGGAGGGAAGGAGAGGGAGGCCCGCGAGGATGTGACCTGCGAATGTGCGTAAGAGTGTGGTGACAGGGTGGTTCCTTTGCTGGCGTGCACTCCACACAATGCTGTTCGCCCGATGCCGTCACCACGGCGCCTTGGAAGGGAAGGGGAGGGAGAGAAAAGAGGATGTGAGTGGCGAAGGCGAGTAAGAGTGTTCTAGAAGGGAGGTCCCTTTGCTGGTGAGCACTCCTCACGTTGCTGTGAGCAGCGATGCACTCACCACCCAACATTGGAAGGGCAGGGGAGAGTGTGGTCAGGCACGTGGTTCCCTTGCTGGTGAGCACTCCATACGTTGTTGTTCGCTCCGATGCACTCACCTTGACACCTTGGAAGGGAAGGGTAGGGTGGGAAAAGAGGATGTGACAAGCGAAGGTGAGTAAGAGTATGCGGGCTGAGTGGTTCCTTTGCTGGTGAGCACTTTCCATGCTGCTGTGAGCAGCGATGCACTCATAACCCAGCCTTGGAAACATGAGGCTAGCATGGGGGAAACATGGGGCTATCACGGGGGGGATATGGGGCTATCAGGCGGGAGAAATGGGTCTGACATGGGGGGAACAGGGGGCCTGCAGGAGGAAACAGGGGGCACGCTGGGGGAAACAGGGGGCCTGCAGGGGGAAACATGGGGCCTGATGGGGGGAAGCATGGGGCCTGATGGGGGGAAGCATGGGGCCTGATGGGGGGGAGCATGGTGCCTGATGGGGGGGAAACATGGGGCCTGATGGGGGGAAGCATGGGGCCTGATGGGGGGGAAACATGGGGCCTGATGGGGGGAAGCATGGGGCCTCGTGTCTGGAAGCATGGGGCCTGATGGGGGGATGCATGGGGCCTGATGGGGGGAAACATGGGGCCTGATGGGGGGGAGCATGGGGCCTGATGGGGGGGAAACATGGGGCCTGATGGGGGAAGCATGGGGCCTCGTGTCTGGAAGCATGGGGCCTGATGGGGGGAAGCATGGGGCCTGATGGGGGAAAGCATGGGGCCTGATGGGGGGAAGCATGGGGCCTGATGGGGGGGAGCATGGGGCCTGATGGGGGGGAAACATGGGGCCTGATGGGGGGAAGCATGGGGCCTGATGGGGGGGAAACATGGGGCCTGATGGGGGGAAGCATGGGGCCTCGTGTCTGGAAGCATGGGGCCTGATGGGGGGATGCATGGGGCCTGATGGGGGGGAGCATGGGGCCTGATGGGGGGAAGCATGGGGCCTGATGGGGGGATGCATGGGGCCTGATGGGGGGAAACATGGGGCCTCGTGTCTGGAAGCATGGGGCCTGATGGGGGGAAGCATGGGGCCTGATGGGGGGAAGCATGGGGCCTGATGGGGGGATGCATGGGGCCTGATGAGGGGGAGCATGGGGCCTGATGGGGGGGAAACATGGGGCCTGATGGGGGGAAGCATGGGGCCTGATGGGGGGGAAACATGGGGCCTGATGGGGGGAAGCATGGGGCCTCGTGTCTGGAAGCATGGGGCCTGATGGGGGGAAGCATGGGGCCTGATGGGGGGAAGCATGGGGCCTGATGGGGGGATGCATGGGGCCTGATGGGGGGGAGCATGGGGCCTGATGGGGGAATGCGGAAGGGGGGATGCGCAAGGGGGATGGAGAAGGGGGGATGCGGAAGGGTGAACGCAAAAGGGTTACCGCGAGAGGGGGAACGCGGAAGGGGGAAGGCGGACGGCGGAATGCGGAAGGGGGTTGGCGGAAGGGGGAACGCTAAAGGGGGGTTGCGGAAGGGGGAATGTGGAAATGGGAACGCGGAAGGGGGAACGTGGAAGGGGCGGCGCGAAAGGGGGCCTACGGAAGGGGGAGAGCGGAACGGGGAATGCGGAATGGGGAATGCGGAATGGGGAATGCGGAATGGGGAATGCGGAATGGGGAATGTGGGATGGGGAATGCGGAATGGGGAATGCGGAATGGGGAATGCGGAATGGGGAATGCGGAATGGGGAATGCGGAATGGGGATTACGGAATGGGGAATGCGGAATGGGGAATGCGGAATGGGGAACGCGGAATGGGGAATGCGTATGAGACGGCACGAATGCGTTTGGGGGCACGTGACGCAGCTCCCACCTCTTCTTATATGCGCAAAGACGGTGTGTCCCCTCGGAGAACACGATTCGTCACTGGTACCCACGCGCGCTATGAATATTACGAGCGCCCTTGCGGCGCGCGTTTTGCTTGCGTGCGCTGCTATCCTGAGCGTGAAATGCTGGAGCGTGCTATGCTGGATCGGGCGGAATGTTAGGGCGCGTGCGAGGCTAGAGGTGAGTGCGTCACGGTTACTAGAAAGGCTGCTGCTTCCTGGGCGCGATTTTTCTACACGTTTCGCCCTTTTGGCTATTTGAATTCGTCCCGAACTCACGCGCCACTTTGTGTGTGGTCTGGTCGCGCTGCTGGCGTAGCACCTTCTAGCGCGCGCCGTGGTTGTTTCTTTCTGGAGTAGGTATTTGGCGCTTATTTTACTTGGTGTGTGAGAGTTAGTGGTGAGCTCGGTGGCGAGGGCATTTTATCCATTCTGTGACTCACAACCAACCCCAATCTGGTTCCCTCACAACACAAGTGCATCTGGTTTTCGCCAACACTCTCGCTCCCCCCGGTTTTTTTCGTCTGGGCGAAATGGTGTTCCATCACTGTACAAACTGAACAGTAGCGCCAAATGTATACCGCTGCTTTAAGAACCTTGGGATGGGAGTTGGGCACTGGAGGCATGCAGGTCCTACTGTCAACAACTGCTGTCGCTGCCATCGCTGTGTTGCTGTTTGAGGTGGACATGTCCATGGGGTTCGTCGAAAGGCGAGCATGAGAAAGGCGACGATTACGAGGGATGAGCCTAAGAGAAGCGTAGCGTCGGTGAAGCAGTGGCAGGAGGAATCGATCATAAGGGCATAGTAACATCGCACCGTCAGCCATGGTCGGAGCTCAAGGTTTCGTTTCTCGAATGTTCTCGCCAGTTGGATTGGTTCTGTCGCTGAAGCCACTTCCCGTTTTTCATCAGAGCAGCTTTCTGCCGTTGTCGTCCGCTTTGAGCGGATCTTACGAATTCGTTGCAGCCAGCATGATCCGAACCGCACCTATCCAAATTCCGCGTATCCCGTTTGGCGCCGCTGCTCTTGCTTCTCCATCCCTTAAATCGTGCACTTGGTTCTCGCGGAAGAGTCAAGGCGCGCGGAATTCAGGTTGGTTAACTGCTGCTAAAGGAACAGGAAGTGAGCGAGGTGTGTTTTTGGCTGGAAGAGTGTTTTCCTCCATGGCGCAAGGGCAGCAATTCGCGGGTACTGCGGACGATCGAGTCAGCCCTGGCGACGACTCTACTTCGCGCATCCAGCTCTACTCGTTCGCCACTCCCAATGGCATGAAGGTGCGTCACATGAAACTGTTGTCGACAAAGCCACGTCGAGCTCATGATTGCTTTTTCCTTCTCTGTCCTTCTCTGTCCTTGTCACCACCCTGGTGATGTGAACCATTTAGGGAAATTTATTGTCTAGAGTCAGATTGTCTGTGTGTCTGAAGATCTTATATCACTTGACTAATTCCCTCTCTTTCTCTCTGCCTCTGCCGTCAGGTGAGCATCGCTCTGGCGGAGATGCAGCTGCCATACGACGCGCACACGGCAATGTATGTGCGTCTGAGGATCTCGTTTCACTTATAACTCTCTTCCTCTCTTCCTCTCTTCCTCTCTCCCTCACCCTTCTGGCGAACATCGCTCTGGAGGAGATGCAGCTGCCATGCGACGTCACACAGCAATATATGTGCGTCTGAAGATCCCGTTTCACTTATCACTCTCTTCATCTCTTCCTCCTCTCTTCCTCCTCTCTTCCTCTCTCCCTCATCCTTCAGGTGAGCATCGCTCTGGAGGAGATGCAGCTACCCTACGACGCGCACACGGTGAGCATAATGAAGGGCGAGCAGTTCAAGCCGGAGTTCATTGCAATCAACCCCAACAACAAGATCCCTGCCATCGTGGATCCCAAGGGAGGCCCAGGTGAGCCTCGCTTTGGAGGAGATGCACTTGCCATGCGACGTGCGCACAGTGAGCATGACGGTTCAAGCCTGACTTCGTTGCAATCAATTCCAACAACAAGATCCCTGCCATCGTGGATCCCAAGGGAGGGACCGGTGAGGCGATTGCTTGTAATGTTTCAAGAACAGCGGTACCGCAGCCTCTGTGCGTATCTTTCAGTTCTATCTCGATCTGGGTTGCTCATTGTAGGATCGGTGATTTCTTGTGGCGCACTTCACTATTCTCATTCTGCTCTTCTTATCCTCATTTCCCGTGCCTTTGCTGTGTATCCTCCCACCAGGTGGCACCCCGTTGAAGATATTTGAGAGCGGGGCGATCCTGGCGGAGAAGGTTTGAGACATGCCAACACCAGATGATATATATTATTTTCTGTTCGCCCTCCCACCAGGCGGCACCCCGTTGAAGATATTTGAGAGCGGGGCCATCCTGCTGTATCTGGCGGAGAAGTCGGGCAAGTTTTTGCCGCAGGATGCTGTGCAGCGATGGGAGACCGTTTCCTGGCTCTTCTTCCAAGTGGGCGGCGTCGGTCCCATGTTCGGCCAGGTGGGGCGCTTGCTGTAGGACCCATTTCCGGCCAGGTGTGTGTTTCCTGTTAGGCCAAGTTCAGGCAGGTGAGGTGCGATCATCGTATCCCAAGCGACCATTCGGTCCATGGGCTTTGGGGTGATCACTTTCAGGTTAACGCTCTTCGCGAGGTGGTGTGTTTCCTGCTCAGCCTCTTGCGTAGAGCGTCGACCTGAACGTGATGACTCCAAAGCCCATGGTCTGAGGGCCACGATGAGCGCACCGCCCTCCACCTCTCCATACTCCGCAGAACTTATCAAGCGGAAGCAGACCAACACAAAATCGGCGTTCAAACGCGTGTCAAACTATCTTCTCCTGTGTACTTTGACTGTATGTGTTTACCCAGCCCCTCTCCCCCCCGGCTTCTCCATTTATTTATTTTCTCTCCCCAGTTTGGCATGTTCTACAAGGTTTCATGCGAGCAGTGCGACTATCCGCACCCTTAGCATCATACATCGAGTCAACCTAACATATCCGCAAAAACCACTTCTCTCTTCCCCCCCCCCCCCCCTTCTCCCTCCTTTCCACTCCTCCAGTTCGGCATGTTCTACAAGTCTGCACATGAGAAATGCGACCAACCATACCCTCTGCAGCTGCACTTCTGCCCCTAAATACTCTCCCTCACACATTTGTCGTCCCCCCTCTCTCCCTGAAATTTGGCATGTTCTACAAGTTTGCACGTGAGCAGTGTGACCACACTGCAGTGTACTGTGACTCTGCCTAACACACTCCTCAGTATTTTTCTCCCCTACTTTCCCCTTCTGGCAGTTCGGCATGTTCTACAAGTTTGCACGCGAGCAGTGCGACCATCCATACCCGCTGCAGCGCTACACGGAGGAGACGCGGCGGCTGCTGGAGAAGTGGCTGGAGGGGAGGGAGTTCCTTGTGGATGCGGGGTACACCATCGCTGACATGGCCACCTTCCCCTGGGTCAACTCGCTGCAGGTCGGTGGGTGGGCGGGTGGGTGCTTTGTGTGGCTACCTTGCTGCCGGTGGTTGCAGAGGGAGTGGGTGAGTGGGTAGGGTGGGTGGGGCTTGCGTGGTTAGTTGTCAGCATGCCATGCGTGGATGGATGGATTGGTCTATCCGTGGTTGCCCTTGAATGCAAGGCTGGAGGGGAGGGGGGTTTCTGGTGGATGTGGGGTACACCATCGCGGACATGGCCACCTTCCCCTGGGTCAACTCGCTGCAGGTGGGTGGGTGGTCAGGGTGGGTGGGTTGGGTGGTTTTATGGCGAGTACGCTGGTGGGTGGGTGGTTTTTATAGCTAGGTCATGGCTGGTGCGTTGGTGGGTGGTTTATGGGGCCGTCTTGCTGGGGGCGGGTGGGTGGCTGGGTAAGTGAGTTGGTGAGGGCGTTTGTTTTGTTACTGTTGGAGGTAGATAGTTACCCCGGTAGATGGAGATAGCCCCCTTGTTTTCCCGTGGATCATCTTAGAAATGGATTGCTGTGGCGTGCTCTGCTATCTTGCTGCAGCTCTAGGCTTACATTACATCGTCTCCTGACTAAGGCGAGGGTCGTGCCAAGTTAAACCCATTCATCTTTGGTATTGTACTGCTTGTGCTTTTCTTCAGGTGTTTTACAAAGCAGATGATCAGTTGCATCTGTCATCCTATCCTCGGGTTATGGAGTGGAGGGATCGTTGTATGGCCCGTCCTCTCACAGCCAAGGGCATGCACATTTGCTCGCCCTAATATGCCTTCGGCTTGGCCTTGTACATAGTATTTACCAGAATCCATGTGGTGTTGGGCTGGCTAGCCACTAGAGTAAATGTGGTGTTACCAAGTCCAGTCCATGTACCGGTATGTACACTCTGAATGTATATACACGAATCCATTTCTCTCCGCGTATTAGGGGCATACTCTGCATGCCTGCTGCTGCCCTAGACAGCTGCTTTCAGCGAGGATGTCGCAGCATGCAACTGTTGACTCTGGGGTGATGATGTTGAGGTTTCTGCTAAAACCCAAGTCCCAAATTGCGGGCCGCGCGGGTCAAGCTTTTAAAACTTGACGAACTAGTGTTTTCAAGGTTTGAAGAAAAGCGTGCCTGCAATTTGGGACTTTTGGGAACTGAACCAACCCCCAGGGCGAAATACGAGGGCGGGCTGGGATTGGCGAAAAAAAACGAAAAAAGGCGAAATTTAAGTCTTTCGCCAAAACCCTCACCACAAAAACCCCCTCGCGTCAACCTTTTAAAACCGAAATATAGAATAGTTAACCCCGTCCCAGCTTGAAAGTGTCTCTCGGAGTGGGTTTGCAAAGCACTGTTTCAAACATTTCGTGCGTGCAGATCGAACCCATTTGATTGGCTCCCGCCAAAAACGATTTTTTTGGGCCCTACACAAGGAGTCGCCTTCAACATGATGTACCCGCACGACGGCTGCACGGCGATCGTTGCGATAGTTGGGCCCAACTCCAACTTCAAGCTGGACCTGGGTTCCACTACTTCTTTCCACTCTAGTCTCTAGTTTAGCCAAGCTTAGAATAGCTGGAAACGTATGCATTTTTTGTCAAACTATGCATATTGTGTTTGTGTAGGCTGCTAGTGGGGTAGCCCATATGGGGTACAACCCAATGTTAGGGTTAGCTTATGTACCCAACTCTTGATCAATGCATTCATTCCTGCTGTCAGATTCTAACATGGTTTCAGAGCACTAAGGTCCGTAGGACCGTTTTTTTTTTTCGGGCCCACCTACCACTGCGGTTACCGCGCTACCCCACGTACCTGCCTGCCTTGCCTTGCCTTGTGACGTGCTGCACTACGCGAGCCGTCCAGCAGCCCTAGCGCTGCCTCCTGCTGCCCTAGGCCAGCGCGCTGCCCCTAAAGGCCCGTAAGGCCCGCGCGCCGCCCCTACACGCCCTCCAGGCCTGCGCAGCCCGCACCGAGCCGCGCGCAGCCCGTTGCTACCGCGCGCTGCCCCCACTGAGCCCGTGCAGCCCGCACAGAGCCGCGCGCAGCCCCCTGCAGCCGCGCGCAGCCCGCACAGAGCCGCGCGCAGCCCGCTGCAGCCGCGCGCAGCCCGCACCGAGCCGCGCGCAGCCCGCTGCAGCCGCGCGCAGCCCGCACCGAGCCGCGCGCAGCCCGCTGCAGCCGCGCGCAGCCGGTACTGAGCCGCGCGCAGCCCGCTGCAGCCGCGCGCAGCCCGCGCCGAGCCCACGCAGCCCGCGTAGCGCCGCGCGCGGGCCTACTCCTGCCTCGTGAGGCCCGCGCGCCGCCCGCTGCAGCCCGCGCGCGGCCCGCAGCAGCCCGCGCCGAGCCGCGCGCGGCTCGCCACTACCTAGCGCGGCCGCGCGCGGCCTGCAGCAGCCCAGCGCGCTGTCAGCGCAGCCCGCGCCGAGCCGCGCGCGTCCCTCTGCCTCGGCCCCGACCTGCCGCTGATACGGCCCCGCTCTGCAGCTGCCACGGCCCCGACCTGCCGCTGAAGCGGTCTCGCCTGCAGCTGCTTCGGCCCTACTCTGCACCGGGTGTTGCGGCCCCGACGTCGCCGCTGTCGTGCGCCTACTCCGCCGCCGCCCGTTGAGCGCCGGCCCTGCTCGCCCGGCGAGCGCCTGCTCTTCCAGCCTTTGGTGAGCGCCTGCCTGCCTGCCTGCCGGCCTGCCTGTCTGCTTGCCTGCCTGCCTGCCTACCGGCCTGACTGCCTGCCTGCCGGCCTACCTGTCTGCTTGCCTGCCTGCTTGCCTGCCTGCCTGCCTGCCTACCTGCCTGCCGGCCTGCCTGTCTGCCTGCCTGCCAGCCTGCCGGCCTGCCTGTCTGCTTGCCTGCCTGCCGGCCTGCCTGCTTGCCTGCCTGCCTGCCTGCCTGCCTGCCGGCCTGCCTGTCTGCCTGCCTGCCAGCCTGCCGGCCTGCCTGTCTGCTTGCCTGCCTGCCGGCCTGCCTGCCTGCCTGCCTGCCTGTCGGCCTGCCGCGCCTGCCCTGCCCGCGCTACTGCTGCTGCTACTGCTACTGGCCGGTGGCCAGATGCAGCCCCAGCGACGTTCACGTGAGTCTCTCACGCCCCAGCAGCTTAGTGAGTGGTATACTAGCTGGGGTTGTCGCGGTAGCAGTCGTAGCTGTCCCCCTGGAGCTGGTCCGTTGGGAGCGACTGGCAGTGGCCAGCTGCAGCTGCAGCGGCGTCCGCGCGAGACACTTACGTCCCGGCAGCTCCACGAGTGGTACGCTCAGTGTAGCAGGTCTACGCGTACAGTTCGCTGCCAGTACGTCCTTCGCACAGGTGATAGGACTGGTCAGCCTTGCGGGACGCTTGGTCACACACAGTCCCGCTGCTTCGCCCGTCTGAGCGACGACTGGCGTACAGTGTTTGGCGACGAGGCTGAGCTCCCCGACTGGCTGGAGCTGCTTGGACAGAGGGTAGATATCTTTGCTCCTGACTATGATGCTATTCTCACTGCCATGTATGCATTGCCTACTAGTGTTGACCGTGCCTGTTACCTGTGCGTCCCGCCTGACCCTGGTATAGCACCTGCTGCTCCCGGTACTGGTGAGGCTGCTGCCCTAGGTGCTCGTGTGTCTCCTCCTCTGGGTGCTGGTGAGGCTGCTGCTCTAGGTGCCGGTACGTTTCCTGCTCCAGGTGCTGGTGGGTCTGCTCTCTCTAGTTCTGCGCCTACTGCGGCCTTGTACACCTTCACGCTTGACTCAGGTGCCTCCCGCTCCTTCTTTCGCGACTGCACCACACTCACGCCGCTTAGTCGGCCGGTTGCAGTCTCCCTGGCGGATCCCTCAGGGGGTCCAGTCCTTGCCCACTACTCCACGGTTCTGCCGTGTCCGGCCGCCCCGTCTGGCTTGCTGTCAGGTCTTTACCTCCCCTCGTTCTCTACGAACTTGGTGAGTGGAGCTGACCTCCAGGATCAGGGGGTGCACCAGTTCACTCCTACGAGTTCATCAGCGGGTGACTCACTGTACGTGTGCTCGGACCGGCCGACACCTGGCCACGTTTTCCCGTGCGCCTGGCTCGAGTCTGTACACCCTGACCACTGCGTCCGCTCAGGTAGCTGCGTCTGCGTCTGCGTCCGGTCAGCCGACGGCCCCCTGCGAGTGTCGCGCTTTGTCGCACCAGACCCTCCTGTGGCACCACCGCCTTGGTCACCCCTCGGTGCAGCGCCTTCGTGGCATGCACTCTCGCTTCCTGGTTTCTGGTCTTCCCAGGTCTTTGCCTGCCCTGCCTCCCTCGCTTGCGCCGCCCTGCATTCCTTGCGTCGAGGGGCGGCAGCGCGCCGCTCCTCACTCCTCCTCGTTCCCTCCCACAGAGGCTCCCCTGCAGACTCTCCACCTGGACGTGTGGGGCCCAGCCCGCGTCCGTGGACAGGGCCACGAGCGGTACTTCCTGCTGGTTGTTGACGACTACACGCGTTACACCACGGTCTTTCCCCTGCGCAGCAAGGGGGAGGTCCCTGCTGTTTTGATCCCTTGGATCCGCGCTGCCCGTCTCCAGCTCCGCGAGCGGTTCGGGACGGAGTTTCCCGTCCTGCGTCTGCACTCTGACAGAGGTGGTGAGTTCTCCTCCGACCTCTTGGCAGCCTTCTGTGCGGAGCACGGCATCACCCAGTCGTTCACGCTTCCGGCCTCTCCGCAACAGAATGGGGTTGCTGAGCGCCGCATTGGCTTAGTCATGGAGGTCGCTCGTACCTCCATGATCCATGCGGCTGCCCCCCATTTTCTGTGGCCGTTTGCGGTCCGGTACGCCACGCATCAGCTCAACCTCTGGCCCCGTGTCTCCCTGCCGGAGACCTCGCCCACACTGCTGTGGACGGGGAAGGTTGGCGATGCGTCGCGTTTCCGGGTCTGGGGTGCTCGTGCCTTTGTCCGCGATACCACCGCGGACAAGCTCTCCGCCCGTGCAGTTCCCTGTGTCTTCCTTGGCTTTGTCCCTGACGCGCCTGGTTGGCAGTTTTACCACCCCACCTCGCGCCGTGTCTTTGCGTCTCAGGACGTCACGTTCGACGAGTCGGTTCCCTTTTACCGTCTCTTCCCCTACCGCACTGCCCCTCTCCCTCCCCCGCCGCTCTTCCTCGCTCCAGGTGCTCCCCAGGTCGACCCTCTCCCCGCTCCAGGTCCTGCTCCCTCAGGTGTGTCTCAGGTAGACCCTCCTCCCTTCCCTGCGCCGGTTGAGGTCACTGGTGACTCAGGTCCTGCTGGGGGTGGTCCTGCTCGGGGTGCTACTTCTGGGGGTGCTGAGTCTGGGGGTGCTGAGCCTGGGGGTGCGGAGCCTGGGGGTGCGGAGCTTGAGGGTGTCGAGCCTGGAGGTGCTGAGCCTGAGTGTGAGGGGTCTGGAGGTGCTGGAGCTGGTGGTTCTGGGGCTGCTGAGGGTGCTAGCGCTGGAGGTTCTGGAGCTGCTGGAGGTCCTGGTGCTGGTGGCGCTGGAGCTGCTGAGGGTGCTGGCGCTGAGGGTTCAGAGTCTGCTGTTGCGCGGTCTCCTTGGAGTAGCCGCCTTCGTCCACGTGTGCCACTCACCTCGCAGCAGCTGCACGACTGGTACGGTCGCCGTCAGGGTCGCGCTGCTGGAGCCCGGGGCTCTACTGCTGGAGGTACTTCTGCTGCCGTCCCTGGCGCTAGGAGTGGTGCTGGTACTGTTTCTACTGGAGGTGCTGGAGTCGCTGGTCCCGGAGGTGCTCGTACTGGAGGTACTGGAGCTGCTGGGGCTGGGGGTGCTGCGTCTGGAGGTGCTGCTGCTGGAGACACTGAGGCTAGAGACCCTGGGACTGGAGGTGCTGGTTCTGGGGGTGCTGCTGCTGGAGACGTGGAGGCTGGAGACCCTGGGACTGGAGGTGCTGGTTTTGGGGGTGCTGCTGCTGGAGACGTGGAGGCTGGAGACCCTGGGACTGGAGGTACTGGTTCTGGGGGTGCTGCTGCTGGAGGCACTGGGGTTGGAGACCCTGGGCCTGGAGGTGTCGGTTCTGCTGCTGGAGCTTCTGGAGCTGCTGGAGGTGCTGGAGCTGCTGGGGGTACTGGAGCTGCTGGAGCTGCCGGTTCTGGTGCAGCTGCGCCGCCACGATTGTTCTTCGCTCCGCCGTCTCCGTCGTCTCTGCCGCCGCCTGACTCTGTTCTTCGTCAGGTTCTTACTCTCCCGTCGTCTACTGGTCTTCCGTTACAGCCTGGCTCACCGCTGCCTGCTCCTTCTCCTTACACTGAGCAGACGGGTAGTCTTGCTGAGCGTCGTGAGCCTGCGTCGCGTCCTGTCTCGCCTGTTCGTCCTAGTCGTACCGGTCGTCGTGTTCCGCGTCCGCGTTCGCCGCCTGTCCCCACCGCACACCTTGTCGTCCGTCGTCCTTCCTCTGTTCCGCAGTCTGTTTCTCTGCCGTCTCCTCCTGCGTCTTCCTTGCCTCACGTTCCGGACCCTGAGTCTGACCGGTTTCGTGCTGAGCACCCTACTGTCACGCGTCTGCTCGCCACTGTTGTCACTGACCCCTCGTTTGAGTCTGCTGCTGCGACAGCTTTGGTTGCCGAGCTTGTTGACTTTGCTACTGCCTGTCGTCTAGACTACGCTGCTAGTCTTGTCGCTGAGTCTGAGTCTGTCTGTCCTCCGTCCGTCGGGGGTGAGTGTGCTCTTAGCACGGACGTCCTTGAGGATAGGCACGAGGACCTTGAGTGTCTTGCAGCCGCTGCGCCTCATCTCGTGACCATGCTGCTTGCCCCTGAGGGAGACCCGGATGCACTAGACATCCCCACCCCGCGCTCGTATGCTAAGGCGGTCGCGGGTCCCTACTCCTCTCAGTGGCAGGCAGCCATGGACGCAGAGATGGCATCCTGGAAGTCCACAGGCACTTACGTCGACGAGGTTCCCCCTCCTGGGGCGAACATCGTCAGTGGCATGTGGATTTTCAGGGTGAAGCGGCCGCCTGGTTCTCCGCCTGTCTTCAAGGCACGTTACGTTGCTCGAGGCTTCAGTCAGCGAGAGGGAGTTGACTTCTTCCAGACCTTCTCCCCCACCCCGAAGATGACCACTCTTCGGGTACTGCTGCACGTTGCCGCCCAGCGTGACTACGAGCTTCACTCGCTTGACTTCAGCACAGCTTTCTTGCAGGGCAGCCTGCACGAGGAGATCTGGCTGCGCCGCCCACCTGGCTTCACTGGGTCGTTCCCTCCTGGTACCCAGTGGAGCCTCCGCCGGCCAGTCTACGGTCTCCGTCAGGCGCCTCGTGAGTGGCACGACACACTGAGGACTACGCTTGCGGCTCTCGGGTTTGCGCCCTCCACAGCTGACCCGTCACTGTTTCTGCGCACCGACACTTCGCTGCCGCCGTTCTACATCCTCGTGTACGTCGACGACTTGGTCTTTGCCACTGCTGACACTGAGGCTCTCGCCCTGGTGAAGTCCGAGCTGCAGAAGAGACACACGTGCACAGATCTGGGTGAGCTGCGCAGCTACCTTGGCTTGCAGATCACCCGGGACAGAGCACGTCGCACCATCACTCTGACTCAGTCACACATGGTGCAGCAGGTCCTTCAGCGCTTCGGCTTCACCTGGTCCTCGGCACAGTCCACTCCTCTGGCTACAGGTCACTCGCTCTCAGCTCCACCTTCGGACGAGTCTGTAGAGCCGAGTGGTCCTTACCCAGAGCTAGTAGGCTGCCTCATGTACCTGATGACTTGCACTCGTCCTGACCTTGCGTACCCTCTTGGCCTTTTGGCCCGCTACGTGGCTCCTGGTCGGCACCGAAAGGTGCACTGGGATGCTGCGAAGAGGGTACTGCGCTACTTGTGCAGTACATCGGGCATGGGGCTCGTGCTTGGAGGACGGCGAGAGGTGGTCCTCACTGGGCACTCAGACGCGTCTTGGGTTGACGACCAGGCTACACAGCGGTCGTCACAGGGTTACACTTTCAGCCTCGGCTCTGGTTCTGTTTCGTGGCGTTCTACTCGCTCGTCTTCTGTTCTCAGCTCCAGTTGTGAGGCTGAGATCTACGCCACCGCCATGGCTGCTCAGGAGCTGCGCTGGCTCACCTACCTGCTGACCGACCTGGGAGAGCGGCCTCGTTCTCCTCCAGTTCTGTACGTTGACAACAAGGCAGCCATTGCCTTGTGTGAGGAGCACAGACTGGAGCACAGAACGAAGCACATCGCTCTGCGTTACTTCCTGGCTCGAGAGTTGCAGCAGCGTGGTCAGCTTCGTCTTGCACACGTGGCCACTCGGGCCAACACTGCTGATATATTCACCAAGGCACTTCCGTCTGGTGATCATCAGCGCTTTTGTACCTTGTTGGGCCTTGTGCCTACGTTTCCACACTTGCTGTAGACTCTGCCTGTACTGTGATCTTTATATATATATACCTGCATGCTTGCTCTTGCTAGGTAGTGATCACTGTACTTTGTTTGTTGCATATATACCTCTGCATGTGGACAGGCCTTGTGGCCCTTTGCTTGTGCTCAGTGTGTGTGGTGACGTTGTGATCCACCCTGAGCTTGTTTTGTTTCTCTTGACTGGTCTTGTGACCCCTTGTTCTCCCCCACTTTGCCTATGAGGGTGTGTCAAACTATGCATATTGTGTTTGTGTAGGCTGCTAGTGGGGTAGCCCATATGGGGTACAACCCAATGTTAGGGTTAGCTTATGTACCCAACTCTTGATCAATGCATTCATTCCTGCTGTCAGATTCTAACATTTTTGCCTAGGCAACTACCGTTTTTATAATTTCAATCTTCATCCTTCTATTCGAGGCCTAGTGGCGAGGGATCTTACGCATCTCGTAGCGATACTTGCCTCGAGATTATTCGGTTGAACGCGCTCGCCGCCGAAACGCCCTTTCGTCGCTCAGCTCATCACCTTCACATTCGCAAGGGATTGCCCTCGCGGCGGCCTTATTCCGATCCCCCTGCCCATCACCCACCTCTTCGCATTCGCGCTTGCCTCGAAACATTCTCTCGTCGCCCACCCCGTGTTTCCCATGTCGTCCCATCGCTTACGCGCGCTCCCCTCCTGTTCTGTCGCCCTCTCTCTCGCCCCTCCCTTCCCATCGCGCTCTCTCTATCCGCGCCCTTCCCGTCGCCTCCCTTCCCATCGCGCTCTCTCTCTCCGCTCCCTTCCCGTCGCCCTCTCTCTCCCCCCTCCCTTCCCGTCGCGCTCTCTCTCTCTCCGCTCCCTTCCCGTCGCTCTCTCTCTCGCCCCTCCCTTCCCGTCGTGCTCTTTCTCTCCGCGCCCTTCCCGTCGCCCTCTCTCCCATCGCCCTCTCTCCCATCGCCCTCGCTCTCTCCTTCGTTCTGTCCCGTCGCCCTCTCTCCCATCGCCCTCTCTCCCATCGCCCTCGCTCTCTCCTTCGCTCTGTCCCGTCGCCCTCTCTCCCATCGCCCTCTCTCCCGTCGCCCTCTCTCCCGCTTCCCTCCTCTCCCGTCGCCCTCTCTCCCGCTTCCCTCCTCTCCCGTCGCCCTCTCTCCCATCGCCCTCTCTCCCGTCGCCCTCTCTCCCGTCGCCCCCTCTCCCGTCGCCCTCTCTCCCGTCGCCCTCTCTCTCTCAAGTCGTCGTCGCTCTCTCACGTCGCCCTCGCTCTCTCACGTCGCCCTCGCTCTCTCACGTCGCCCTCGCTCTCTCACGTCGCCCCGCGAAATTCCCTGCTGTTTTCTTATTATAATAATAGGAACCCTAATTTCGTACAAATTTACCTCCCCTCCCGTCGTTCCACTTCTCTTCCCTCCCCTCCCGTCGATCCCTTCAGGTCCTTGTTCCCGTCCCCCTGCTCTCTCCCCTCCTTTTCCTCCGCCCTTCGCCCTTGCTCTCTCCCCTCTGTTCCCGTCGCCCACGCGTTCTTCCCTCCCTTTCCGTTGCCCTCGCTCTCCCCTCCCTTTCCGTCGCCCTCGCTCCACCTCATGACCCTCCCCCATGCCCCTCCCATCTCCCTACCATTCCGCAGATTTTGCTCACGAATCTCTCTTCTCGCGTCCTCGTTTCTGCTGCACTATCTGTCTCTTCTCTCGTGCCCTGAAATTCTCTGTTTTTTAGCTTCTTTTTGTTCCCATGTTGTTATTGCCTTCCTCGCAGGCCCATGTCGAAGGCATTTGCTTTGCGTGCGTTGGGCTTGCTTTGCATGAGTTGGACGTGCTTCACAATGCGAATTTGGCACTGGATATGAATGAGACTTGCACGTCGCAATGTTTTGAGCGACGCATTTTGCACATACTTGTGTTAGAATCTAGCAGCAGGAATGGATGAACTAGCAGGATGTAGGAGTACAAGTAGTAAACCCTAACTAGGTTGTACCCCATATGGGCTACCCCACTACAGCCTAGACAATATGCAGCACATATAGTTTGACACACCCCCATAGGCAAAGTGGGGGAGAACAAGGGGTCACACGACCAGTCAAGAGAAGCAAAACAAGCTCAGGGTGGATCACAACGTCACCACGCATTCTGAGCACAAGCAAAGGGCCACTGGGCCAGTTCACATGCAGAGATATATATGCAGCAATAACAGTACAGTGATGGCTACCTAGCAAGAGCCAGCATGCATATATATATATATATATATATATATATATATATATATATATATATATATATATATATATATATATATATGTACAGATCACAGTACAAGCAGAGACTACAGCAAGTGTGGAAACGTAGGCACAAGGCCTAACAGAGTACAAAAGCGCTGATGATCACCAGACGGAAGTGTCAGCAGTGTTGGCCCGAGTGGCCACGTGGCGAAGACGAAGCTGGCCTCGCTGCTGCAACTCTCGAGCCAGGAAGTACCGCAGAGCAATGTGCTTCGTTCTGTGCTCCAGTCTGTGCTCCTCACACAAGGCAATGGCGGCCTTGTTGTCAACGTACAGCACTGGAGGAGAACGAGGCTGCTCTCCCAAGTCAGTCAGCAGGTAGGTGAGCCAGCGTAACTCCTGTGCAGCCATGGCGGTGGCGTAGATCTCAGCCTCACAACTGGAGCCGAGAACTGAAGTCGAGCGTGTAGAACGCCACGAAACTGAACCAGAGCCAAGGCTGAAGGTGTAACCCTGTGACGACCGCTGAGTAGCCAGGTCGTCAACCCAAGAAGCGTCTGAGTGCCCAGTGAGGACAACTGGGCTCGTCCCTCCAAGCACTAGCCCCATGCCTGATGTGCTGCACAAGTAACGCAGTACCCTCTTAGCAGCAGCCATGTGCTCAGGTCGGTGCCGACCAGGAGCCACGTAGCGAGCCAGGAGACCAAGAGGGTACGCGAGGTCAGGTCGAGTGCAAGTCATCAGGTACATGAGGCAGCCGACTAGCTCTGGGTAAGGACCACTCGGCTCTACGGACTCGTCCGAAGGTGGAGCTGAGAGCGTGTGACCTGTAGCCAGAGGAGTGGCCTGTGCTGAAGACCAGGTGAAGCCGAAGCGCTGAAGGACCTGCTGCACCATGTGTGACTGAGTCAAGGTGATGGTGCGACGTGCTCTGTCTCGGGTGATCTGCAAGCCAAGGTAGCTGCGCAGCTCACCCAAGTCTGTGCACGTGTGTCTCTTCTGCAGCTCCGACTTCACGTGGGCGAGAGCCTCAGTGTCAGCAGTGGCAAAAACCAAGTCGTCGACATACACGAGGATGTAGAACGGCGGCAGGGAAGTGTCGGTGCGCAGAAACAGCGACGGGTCAGCAGTAGAAGGCGCAAACCCAAGAGCCGCAAGCGTAGTCCTCAGTGTGTCGTGCCACTCACGTGGCGCCTGGCGGAGACCGTAGACCGGCCGCCGGAGGCTCCACTGGGTACCAGGAGGGAACGACCCAGTGAAGCCCGGGGGGCGGCGCAGCCAGATCTCCTCATGCAGGCTGCCCTGCAGGAAAGCTGTGCTGAAGTCAAGAGAGTGAAGCTCGTAGTCACGGTGAGCAGCAACGTGCAGCAGCACCCGAAGAGTGGTCATCTTCGGGGTGGGGGAGAAGGTCTGGAAGAAGTCAACTCCCTCTCGCTGACTGAAGCCTCGAGCCACGTAACGCGCCTTGAAGACAGGCGGAGAACCCGGCGGCCGCTTCACCCTGAAAATCCACATGCCACTGACGATGTTCGCCCCAGGTGGGGGAACCTCGTCAACGTAGGTGCCTGTGGACTTCCAGGAAGCCATCTCTGCGTCCATGGCTGCCTGCCACTGAGAGGAGTAGGGACTCTCTATCGCCTCTGCGTAAGAGCGCGGAGTCGGGATGTCTGGTGCATCCGGGTCTCCCTCAGGGGCAAGTAGCGAGGACACAAGATGAGGTAAAGCAGCAGCAAGGCACTGGAACTCCTCCTGCCTGTCCTCAAGGACGTCCGTGCTAAGAGCACACTCACCCCCGACGGACGGAGGACAGACAGACTCAGACTCAGTAACAAGACTGGCAGTGAAGTCTAGACGACAGGCAGCAGCAAAGTCAACAAGCTCAGCGACAAGAGCAGACGCAGCAGCAGACTCAAACGACGGGTCAGTGACAACTGTGGCTAGTAGACGCGTGACAGTAGGGTGCTGAGCACGAAACCGGTCAGACGCAGGGTCCGGAACGTCAGGCAAAGAGGACGCAGGAGGAGACGGCAGAGGAACAGGCTGCGGAACAGAGGAAGGACGACGGACTACGAGGTGTGCGCTGGGGACAGCCGGCGGACGCGAACGAGGAACACGAGGACCGGTACGACCAGGACGAGCAGGCGAGACAGGACGCGACGCAGGCTCACGACGCACAGCAGGACTACCAGTCAGCTCAGCGTAAGGAGAAGGAGCAGGCAGCGGCGAGCCAGTCTGTAACGGAAGACCAGTAGACGACGGAAGAGTAAGAACCTGACGAAGAACAGAGGCAGACGGCGGCAGAGACGACGGAGACGGCGGAGCGAAGAACAGTCGTGTCGGCGCAGCTGCACCAGAACCAGCAGCTCCAGCAGCTCCAGTGCCTCCAGCAGCTCCAGTACCTCCAGCAGCTCCAGTACCTCCAGCAGCTCCAGAAGCTCCAGGCCCAGAGCCGACACCTCGAGTCCCAGGGTCTCCAACCGCAGGGTCTCCAGCAGCAGCACCCCCAGAACCAGCACCTCCAGTCCCAGGGTCTCCAACCGCAGGGTCTCCAGCAGTAGCACCCCCAGAACCAGCACCTCCAGCTCCAGGGTCTCCAGCCTTAGTGTCTCCAGCAGCAGCACCCCCAGAGCCAGCACCTCCAGTCCCAGGGTCTCCAGCCTCAGTGTCTCCAGCACGAGCCCCTCCAGAACCAGCAACTCCAGCACCTCCAGTAGACAAAGGACCAGCACGACTCCGAGCTCCAGCAGCGCGACGCTGACGGCGACCGTACCAGTCCTGCAGCTGCTGTGGGGTGAGAGGCACACGGGGACGAAGGCGGCCACTCCAAGGAGACCGCGCAACAGCAGACTCAGAACCCTCAGCGCCCGCACCCCCAACGGCTCCAGAACCTCCGGTGTCAGTACCCTCAGCACCAGTACCTCCAGCGACTCCAGAACCTCCAGCGCGAGCACCCTCAACAGCTCCAGGACCTCCAGCTCCAGCGCCACCAGGACTAGGCCCTCCAGCAGCTCCTGAACCTCCAGCGCCAGCACCCTCAGTAGCTCCAGAACCTCCAGCGTCAGTACCGCCAAGCTCAGCACCCCCAGACCCCTCACACGCAGGCTCAGCACCACCAGGCTCTACACCCTCAAGCTCCGCACCCTCAGGCTCAGTACCCCCAGACTCAGCACCCCCAGGCTCCGCACCCCCAGGCTCAGCACCCCGAGCAGGACCACTCGCAGGAGGACCTGAGTCACCAGTGACCTCAACCGGCGCAGTCAAGGGAGGAGGGTCTACCTGAGAAACACCTGAAGGAGCAGGACCGGGAGCGGGGAGGGGGTCTACCTGGGGAGCACCTGGAGCAAGGAAGAGCGGCGGGGGGGGGAGCGAGGCAGTGCGGTAGGGGAAGAGACGGTAAAAGGGAACCGACTCGTCGAACGTGACGTCCTGAGACGCAAAGACACGGCGCGAGGTGGGGTGGTAAAACTGCCAACCAGGCGCGTCAGGGACAAAGCCAAGGAAGACACAGGGAACAGCGCGGGCGGAGAGCTTGTCCGCGGTGGTATCGCGGACAAAGGCACGAGCACCCCAGACCCGGAAACGCGACGCATCGCCAACCTTCCCCGTCCACAGCAGTGTGGGCGAGGTCTCCGGCAAGGAGACACGGGGCCAGAGGTTGAGCTGATGCGCGGCGTATCGGACCGCAAACGGCCACAGAAAATGGGGGGCAGCCGCATGGATCATGGAGGTACGAGCGACCTCCATGACTAAGCCAATGCGGCGCTCAGCAACCCCATTCTGCTGCGGAGAGGCCGGAAGCGTGAACGACTGGGTGATGCCGTGCTCCGCACAGTAGGCTGCCAAGAGGTCGGAGGAGAACTCACCACCTCTGTCAGAGTGCAGACGCAGGACAGGAAAGTCCGACCGGAACCGCTCGCGGAGCTGGAGACGAACAGCGCGGATCCAGGGGATCAAAACAGCAGGGACGTCCCCCTTGCTCTGCAAGGGGAAGACCGTGGTGTAACGCGTGTAGTCGTCGACGACCAGCAGGAAGTACCGCTCGCGGCCCTGTCCCTGGACGCGGGCTGGGCCCCACACGTCCAGGTGGAGCGTCTGCAGTGGAGCCTCTGTGGGAGGAAACGAGGAGGAGTGAG